CGGCAATTTATACACTAAACTTTCCTCTGCAGTGACTCCTTGCTACTGCATCCACAAATTCAAGCAGAAACTGAACAGAGGGTGTTATTTTAAAATATAGGGCATACAACATCGGAGGATATGAAGAATAGGGACAGTATAGGTCGCTGGATGGACTGCTTGGCACCTTCTCAACTCTGGCGCGCATTACAGTGTAGTTTAGGCTGAAAATATGAGCGCAAACAAAGACGCAGATCAGGTTACAGATAGGTTGACCTGTTACTCAAGTATGAGCACGTATAAATTGTTCGTACCTCGTGGAACCATGTCAATTGTGACCGGCAGGAAATCGGGAGGACGGCGACTTGACTTCTTTCGGGGGCACAGGTCTGGTGGTTGCACCAGTTTTCCTGCTTCCCGTAGTCTGTAACCAGCGATGTCCAACAACCTATGGTCTAGAGCCATTAGACCACCCCATGCAACTTTTCGTCCGATTTATAATCCTTCTATCCGGGCAGTCGGGAGAGAGATTCAGCAAGTCCAGCCACATCTTTAAGCCTTCTGTACCCTCTAGAGGGGCATGGGTCATGTAGTGATCCAGCTTCGGGGGCATGTTGTAACCCTGGATCTCTCGTGACTACTTATACATGCACACTAATTTCAGTCTGGTTCTCGACCAATGTCGCCTGTCCAAACTGGCCAATCATCATTGAGGCTGACTCAGACGTGACCTCGCTGAATGCGCTGGACGACAGCCCCGCTGTTTCACACTCGCGGGCGCTGTTCTTGCGGCGTCCAACGTGCCCTCGTCCGACTGACAACTCCTATTAACCTCTTCTCTATTAGTTCTGTACAGAACACAACATCCTCCCACCTGGCTTCCCACTTCTTCTCTTCCTCTTCTTAACTGTGCCAGATGGCCGTAGTGACTATGGTCACCCCATGGCCTAATCTGCCGCGATAGTCTAATTCTGCGTGGTGCTTTGGTGACTTTGTTGCCAAAGCTTTGGCAGCTGAAGGGTCAACGGGCACTTTTCGTACTGGTAGAACGCTGGAGTTATCTCTCAATTCTCAAAGAGTCCAGGTTCGAATCCCGGGTTGGGCATGGCTGACTGATAACCGACATGCCTGAAACGGCCACTCCACTGTCCCTCATCTTTATCGGTGCGCTTAGCCCGATTCTGTGGTATTGTCTGTGTGGGCTCTAGATAACTGTGCCCCGTAACCTGATGGGCGAACCCTTTTTACCCCAAAATCAATAAAGTCATTCGGTGCTGCTAAAACAACGAGTCCATAACTCACTGGACTGCATAAAAAGGAAAGAGAGAAAAGACAATAAGAGGGAATTCATTCCCACTGCAAATCGGCGCATTATTTACAATGGTAAATCCGACTCGCCTGAATCTCTCACCACACGCTAAGTGTGCTGGCTTAGAAAACTGCCAAATGATAGAATAACCTGGCCATTTTCAGGACTTAGAGTCTGGCTGCATAGTGAGATCGGAGCTGCCACATCTCGTGAAAGTCTCCCACATGCCGGGCCGGGTTTTGTGTGGCACGCGCAGACGGGTCGTCCAGTTTTGTCGGATATTGCACCCGCGCCGGCCTCCGGTCGCCTTGACGTTGTCGTTCCAGCAGAGCAAGGTGCTTGAGAGGTGAGAGAGAGAGTGCGACAGATGCTGAGCAAGTCTGCCTCATTTATCATGGTGTTGTGCACACTTTTCTTACCCGAGAAGATTTCGAAGTTTTCGATATCATAAGTAGAAAGAAATTGTGGCTTTGCCTATGGTGGGTGTCAAACATGGTCTAATGAATCATAGCGTACGTGCCGTTCAGTCTAGTCAGAGTGGCCTGGTGCAGGTGATGAGGACGCGACCGCGTGTATTGTATGCGAAGACGGAGAGAAAGAGAGATAAAAGTGCGGCAGATGCTGAGCAAGTCTGTCTCACTGTAAAGTAACCCACGAGCAGGTCAGTGCTCTGTGCCCACCTTGCTTTCCGGCCACACAGTGGATGCCGTCGTTTTTGACGATCAGATTATCATAGAATTGTGTGCACTTTTCTTGGTCAGATGGGGTTATGTAGCCCCACCTACAATACGGGACCAGTGGGAATAGGGGTTCTTACAGGCGCGGCCGGGGAACGCACGGACGACGAGGTAGAGCAATTGTATGCAAAAGAAAAGCTACTGGGAATGCTCGGTTATACTTTGAAAGATTGAAAAATAGCTGTCATAGCCCCTAACCCTAACCTCAACTATTATCTCTAACCCCTAACCCTAAGACCTTACCATAACCCATAATCCTAACCCCAACCCTTACCCCTGACCCTAACCCCCAACCTACACCCCTAACCCCAACCTCAACAGCATTGTGTCCATTAGGTGGGTCAACTTAACCACATGTTACCATTTTCTTACACGGAAGCTTTCGATGTGTTTAAGACAGACCAGGATCCTACGCGACTGGTGAGTAGCGCAAGAATGTAGTTAATTTTTTGAGTGTGTGAGCAGCCAATGAATTGTCAGGATAAGATTTCGAGGCAGGGGCTAGCGCCTATGCTTATGTTTGTGGAGTTTAGTATAATTAGTAGAAAAAATTTCAACTTCGCCCGTGGTGGATGCCAAACATAGTTTAACGTACCATAGTCTACGTGTCCTTCAGTCTTGTCAGAATGGCCTGAGGCGGGCGGTGAGGACGAGATCGCGTGTGGGGTACGTGCAGACGGGCTGTTTAGTTTTGCCAGTAAATACACCCACGCACATCAACGATCGTCTTCCCACTGTCTTACTACCGTAGTCAGGTGGCTGAGGGCAGATGTGCTGCGGTTGACGCGGTGCAAGTTCGCCTCAACTCAAACGAATTCCTCTATATGCTTCTCTCCGACGTTGAACGTACCCCACGAGACATGCGGTAGATGTAGTCGCTAGTGACGATGGGATTGTCTTGAGCTTGTAAGCATAATTGTACGTGAGTCATGCTCAAGTCATCCTAGCCTGGTTTGGCCTGAAGAGCGTGGGACCGGTTGTAGAGCAGACTCGCTTAATCGTGTCTTTGCGAGATTATGTTGAAGAGAGCATCACCCTAACTGGGCATCAGATGTCAAAAAAGTGCTTTCGAAACGGACATTTCCTGTGGTCTGGCTTTCGTAGGGTGACGAAAGTTTTGGACAAATCTGCCAGGACGCCTGTCACTTCAGAGGAAATGCAGACCGTCAGCAGAACTTACCTTGGCGACTAGAGTAAACAGACGTAAAAACAAGCTTTCCTGAGTGTAAAGGAGGGAGGAGGTAAGGCGCAGGAAGTTCAGGAACTTTGATACTGGATTTTTCTCTAACGTACGGCTGGATCACGTGATTATTACATCACGCTCGGCATCCAAGCGTCACTAGGAGCATGGACGAACCGTGACATCTGACAGGTCCACTATACGCAGAAGTGTCGATTTGTGAAGGTGGAAAGACTGAATGGTTCAGGCCAAAACCATAAGTCTAGTGCCACCGTGCAGACCATCCTTAAAATTACTCTTTTTTACTGCCCGGAGTCCAGTCTGCAAAGTGTACCAAGGGGGTGTGTGTGCTTTTGTCTGAAAGGAACCTGCTTCTTGACATTTACTGCTACGCACAATTCAGAGTATGTGTGAGGAGACGGATCTTGTCGGTAAGACATATAATCGATTTTAATTCTGGGAATTGGCAAGTGAAAACTAAGGACTCATAAAAAAATCGATTTCTTAAACGTAGCTGGGGAGGGGGGCAGAAGGAGAATTCGTCAGAAATTCCAATATCTGACGGCCTTTTGACAGAACTACATAGGCAATTTCTTAAGGGAATGGAAACTTCCTATCTAATCGATAGCCAGCCGCAATACTTGTGATATAACCGATCGCTTTTAGAATAACTTCACCGTTATAGGTCTAAACGTATGAGTTTCGGCGCGACACGTATTCTACGATAGCAAGTCTAGCAGCTGCATCAAGCAGCAGCACAATGGCGCGAAACACAAGCAACTCAGTCAGCAGATTCAACGTCTTCGTATTCACAGTAAACCAAGGTGCTTGGTATGGAATGATGCCATAGTTAGTTTGGAATAATCCAGATTGGTTAGCAGTCGAAGCAACAAATCACGAGAAATATTTGTAGCTGGATACGGAGACTGTACCTTCTAGATGTATGTAGACTAAAGCGTTTGCGGACATTTATTTTGACGATTATTTTTCCCTCCTTCAAACATTCTCGGACGGAGCCAAACTAGGAAACTTGCATTTTTTGATCTTTGAAAACGGGAGAGGAGGTTAAATGCTGCAGAGTGTAGAGGACGACTCCCTGGTTCCCCTAGGTCGCACTATCGGTAACCACTGCGCCATTTTCCGTCTAACATCCAGCAATGAAAATTGGCCTCATACAGTTTAAAATCAGGGGACTTCACCTACATTAATGTGTCACTACCAGCAACTTTTGCTAAACCCATAAATATGACCTTGTTTTACTTTTCCCCATATGAGGTTTTGCTTGGAGTTCAACTGTCACCCCGTCTTTACAATTTTGCAGCTCGTTCACACTCAATCTAGACAGGAAATACCGTTTGTACGGAAGCTGCCACCACGGGTAACGCGCGCGTCATCGGAAACCTTCGAGTTACTGGCGTGCCACAGAATGTATAAAAAATAGTTGCTTAAACTTTGCGGTGTTCGACTCCATGGGACTCCGAAGACTCGTCAGTTTGGTTTGCAAATATCACCGCTCTGACGTACGCAGGTAGCGTCCGTAGATTTTGTCCAATAGGAGAGCGGCGAGACGCTAGGGCGTTTTTTATTAGTCAGTCTGCCTCGACCTGGCGTTAGCATTCGCTGCGTTGTATCTCCCCCTGATAGGCCAATCAGAGGAGACGAGCCCGCATGGGTGAAACACCCGCCGTTAGCCTTTCAGCTGAGCTCCTTGGACTCCACGCGGCACACACGCACACACACGGAGGCAACAAGGCTCATCACATGTGGACTCTAAGATAACAGCCGGACAAGAAGTATGACGCACCTGCCCGTTGGAGAGCATTGGAGTTTCTCTAGCACCGCCTACCTCCTGGAGGATAGCTATCTGTTCCCCGTGATGAAAGTGAACACAGGCTCAGAGCCTGCCTATGGTTCACTTCAGAGCATTGTTCGTTTTTCTCTTCTTTCCCTGCCAATGTGTAGCTTCCTTCTTGCCCTCATTAACGCGCTCGGTTTCACAAAGATTGTCGCCAATCCCCATCCCAGTCCCTCCAACTGTAGAAGGCTGCAATCGGGCAACTGCCTCATCGCCCTATGCATCCTGACAATGATGCTGTCCGGCCTGCTTTGGGCCACGGTTCTGCCTCGGCTGATCCACTTCGGCGCAGAACCCGCCCCCACAGGCAACGTCTCCCAGGCGCAGTCAACTGGCCGAATATTTGCTGCCCAGTTGCCGGCAATTCTAACTACGCAGACAACCCTGCGTATAGCCTCCATTTGGTTTTCCGTCTATATACTCACAAGACAGCTTACTAGCCTGAGTACCGCGAGGAACTGTCCTGGCTGCGTTGTGGGTAAAGTTCCCCAGCCGCCAACTCATCTCCCCGGCAGTGTGCTAGACCAGGATGGTAGACGCTCCCAATACCTCCTCCAGCCTTTCATTCGAGCTGCTCGATCAATGCATCAAATTTTCCGACCCCAGAAGGACATCTTACCCTATCCGACAGATTGTTCACACACCCTACGGGGACTCCCCTGTTGTTTCCGCTGCCGTATGACGGCCCAGAGACAGCATTTTGCTGAAGTCTGGTCTGATCATGGAGATTGTGCTCAGACGTCCGGAGTCGTGCCCTCCTCCGCGGCGTCTTCCTGCAGGCGTGCCTACCTCTTCCAGTTCCGACAACTCTGTCCCGCCCTCATAGTCTCAGGTTGCATAGTGGGCTTTTCAATGATACTTTGCATACCGCAGATTTGGAATTACCGGATTCATCTGAAGCGACTGAGCCCTAGTCAGCAGTTGCGATCGCAGTACACATGGTGTGTGACAAACAATGCGGGTAGTAGTGTGTACGAGTACATTTTGGCGATATTTGGGCTACTCCTGCCTAGCTTCTGTCTTCTAGTTCTCCTCATTCTCTTCTCCTATCGCATCACACAAATGAGCCTCAGTGGCTGTCAACAACGTTGGCTGGCTCAGATCCCCGACACCTACGAAAGGACAATTAAAGCTGCCGCTGCTCAACTTCTCTGGGAAACTAAGTTTGTCGGTCTGGCGGTGCTGCTGGCGTTCATTGGTTGGCTACCCCTGACTGCAGCAAACACTGTTCATCGTCTTTCTCAACTGGTGAAGACAGACCAGCAGCAGCAACAAAAGTGGCCAGATCTGATCACATGGTTGGTCTGTGAGTTGTGCATTCTCACGGGGGACTTCCTCGTGCAGTTTGTTCTACTGGTGATGTTGCTCTGTGAATCCGCTTGCCTGAATTCCCGTCGGACTTCTAACCCAGTCGACGAATTAGCAATGGCTCTCTCATTTACCTCGCCTCCGCTGCCTAGCAGAGGCGAGCCCAATTTCGTGAATGACTCTGTTCGTGTAAATAGCACCCTGCAGGATATGGAGTCGCTGCAAGTCTCCGATTTTGCCGCCAGCAGTCAACTTTCAGCTGCTATGCATGGCATGCCGGACTCCGGTGTCAGCAGTGCTACAGCCTGTACAAACAATGAAAAAATGGAGATGGCTCCGCCCACGGCGAGGACCTGCGGTATCGGCGGTTACTTTGCCTCGCCCACAGCTAACAACGGCGCCAGGGCTCTCGTCTCGGCTGAGGTGTCCATCACCTACGGATCCGAGGAGTGTGGAAGTTCTGTTTGTCCAGGGAGGGGCGTCTGTTCATCGGTGGCAACCACTGCCAACCATCATTACGAATTGACTCGAGACGGAGGCCTTTATCCCCCCTCCTCCACGGCCTCCTTTGCTGGCGCCCACGAGAGTGCGACGTCACCACCGCCGCTGCCGCCTCCGAATTACACCTACGGGTTTCCATCTCCGGTGTTTGCGGGCAGTAAGGCCTACCATGGTCTGACATCGCACGGGAACAGTGCCAGTCCGTCAGAAAAACTGCCCTGTTTCCGTGCCGTTCTGCCACCATTACCACCAAAGGGCGAAGACTGCGAGGACTTCATTGATGCTGGCAATGAGGTGGATAACGGTTCGGAGGAGTCGGGTTCCCGGTACTTTGACCAGCATGGAGTGCTTGTGTCAAAACTGTAGACGGACGCCGCCATGGATTATCACTTGCCAAACAAAGGGTGACTTTTGTCCGTTTATGCAGAGGTGAGAACGAACAGACCAAAGATGGAGCCAAAGTGCTCGATGCAATCTCTGCGCGTTTTGTGGGTGACCGTCTGTCTGCTGAACAATGGTCTCGTAAACCACCGAGCGCTCTGTTCACACCGGACGCAAGATTATTTACATGTAGTGCGGAACTGTTCGCACACACAGCGTCCGTCCTGATCTTAAAGGTTATTTGAAAATTGATGAAAGCGAAAAATACACCGATAATTGACCTGCATTCATACCCGCATGCATGGACTTGAGATTTTTTTACAGTTGCATTTTAAAGTTGAACATAGGAGTAAGCAATCTGTTCATAATAAGACGTAACGGTAGGTCTGCATAGGGCGTGGTGTACGTGCTATAACTCACCATTTTCGTGATGTCGTCATAACAGTCATAGGCATTAACTGTGATTTTTTGTATGGGACACGACCGTCAAAAGGGCGATTTATTTCCTTGCAATTTTTAGAAATCAATGCTGTTTTGTACGCCAGTTATCAGGATGCAATAGAGCTATGGTTTCAAATCTAGAAACTCTACCAACGTCCAAAACGTTTCTGTTTGCGCAGACTCCGATTTTCTTCTTTACGTAAATACAAACTAAATAAATTGCGTGGAAGTCACAAGAGGTTTATTGAGTTGAAACCGGTGAAGTAGAGGACACATTAAGAAACCAATACAATCAATACAGAAAGGGAGTACCGGCAAACAGACCAGGGCGACTTGGACGGCTGTTTAAGATTCATTAGCCGCCATCAGTCAGCCTCATCCAACCTCAGGTTTGTGGGACTCAAGCCTCGAAATCACGCTCTTTGGTCTCTGCCATTATATTGAGCCACGGGCCCACTATCCTGACGGTTACAAACGAAAACACTGACTATGACGGAGGTTAGTCCATCACTTCCAATTTATCATAACAGGCTACGGAGAATAGGTAACTGGTACGGCCAGAAAGCCTTTACACCCATCAATTTCAAATTGCTGACTACCTGCCTGAGTTCACGAAGAACCGCCTGTCAGTCCTGCGAATAATCAAAGCTTCCATTTCTCCAACTTGCATGATGAATTCTTTTGTCTGTCTAGGCGACGATCCTACGGGTCTTTCAGGGAAAACCATTTAAATGCAGAATATAGAGAGTAGTAAAAGACGGAGTTGACATAGTCCAAACCTCTACTGAGCATAGCACCACCATTGTGCTGACATTATGCCAATCAAGTCTCGGCACTCTGGTGCCGAGCTGCGTGAGTTCCTTGTTTCGCATAATGCGATATTAGAGAGATCATGGTTCTTCAAGTCATGGACCTAACCATTTATATCCTTTAAAATGTGTCGTATGTTCACGTTCCTGTCGGTCCGATAATCTAGTCCGCAATTCGATTATAGGATTTAACGTCGGATGGTCTTCTCCTTTCTAAGTTGTATGTCACCTGCGCTCTTCCCCGCCTCCAGTCTTCTTGACTTTGTCTTGACACTGGGTTCAGCTGGGAAGTGGGGAAGGCAGAGTGCGGTAGATGTTGCGCAAGTGTGCTAGTACTATAAACTAATTTACGTGCAGATCACCATCCCTGCGCCCATCCTACTGTGGGGCATGCAATGGACATTGTCGGAATCGACGCTCGAACTGTCACAAGCTGCATGAAGACATCTATGGAGGCGGATTTTCGAGTTGCATGTGAACGTATGAATAAAGACAACGGAGACTGGTTGAGCATCGGGACAATTTGTTCACTGATCTGAACTTTCGGGCTTGGACAGAAGTCCTTTGTTAGAGATATTAATGGCAAAAGAACAAGCGAAAATTATAGGAGGCAGCAAAAATCAACGATCAATGATGTAGGGCTGGAGGCGACCGCGCAGGGCTCCGCAAGTCGAAAGCAAGACAAACTGAGAATTGATTGAGGCCAGGGCTTTGAATGAAAACCACTCAATCAGTGTATCGACCTGGCGTAGGCATACAGGACTGTGCGCAACCATCTTCACATCTGCATCGCTGACGGCTGATTGGCTAATATCCACAAAACTGTCGCATGTTTCACTGCTGTCTCTGTCTCTGATGACGGACTTCTGCACGAGTTCGAAAGCACAGTGTCCGACCTCCCCGTCTTTTTTGTTCAAAATCGATATCCTATTCGAAATCAAAGAGAGACATTGTTCTGTACACTCAGGTCAATGATCGCGAATGGATAGTTGTCTGACTACGTTGCTTATTGAATACCGAACTGGTTGGCTGTGCGAAAACACTGAACACGGTGAAGCATTGGCCGAACATTTTCGATCTACTTTTCAGTGTGCACTGATCAATATGGAAAATGATTTTAATTCGATTTTTGCATTATAGCATGCGGACATTAAATTATTTTCAAGTTGTTGATCAAATAAACACAGAGGGAAATTGCCACTCAAAAACAAGTTTATAAATAGAGTTTACACGCCTGAATAAACTCAAACTTAAATTTCAAAAATAATGTACTAAAACCACTCTGAAGTATTTGCTTAATAAAAATCCCCGTCGTAAATAAAAGTAGTACTTAAAGAAATAAATAACATTGTTCCTAAAATGTTTAGTAGTGCATTATATGTTGGGAATGAACTACTTTTACTTCTTCCCGGGATATCATCGCTTGCGTAATACTTATCTTTTTGAATCCGGTTAATATCTCTGATGTGTTTTAGTAGATGAGTCCACCGACGTCCATTGCAATGCACATACATCACAGCTCGAAAAACAGGCAATACAAAATTGGCTAAAAACCATAAGGAGCTGAGAAACCATCCGGCGAGCAAAGTCGAACCCCATAGCGTCCTGCAAAATGAAGGCACGGAGAGACAGTGAGGGTCGATGTTTTCGAAAAAATATTACCTATCGCGAGCAAATCGCAAACTTCGAACGGATGCGATGCTGTTCCTGCTAAGAGTGCTGGGAGCACGCAGGATTCATAGAACCTATGTAAAATATCAGTAGTATAAGGTTGAAACGTGTTTCTGGTTATAATACACGACCTGACAGACAATAAGAGGGTTAATTTGGAAAAAAACTGTTCAAAGCGAAGTGCAGTGCAAAAATATTCATTCACGACAAGCACCTTAGCAGTGATTCTACCCATGTCCCTCCAGGAAGAGATCGCAGTACTGAATATCGTCGTAAAAACTAGTATAGACAGGCCAACAATCAAATTAGCCGTTGCGGCGATTGGACAGGGGGATAAGGTCCCCCCACACTACAGGTGACCTTGCGGTGAATTTCGACAAGGTCCCCATTACCGTGTCCTAAATCTGACCGTTATTATTTTCCCAATTCTAAGCATAACCCTCCTGGAATTTAGCGCAAAGTTATTTACAGAACGGTTGGTGGTCCACATTCTCGTGCCGTACAAGTGTGTAGGAGAAAAAACTTTTATTTCCGGCACTGGATGGGGGACATACTGACCCAAAATATCCTCAAAATATCAGTGAACGCGTCTGTTTTTGGTACAGTCAGTCAACTGGAGAAAGTGGCGCCGCTATCGTGCGGTAAATGTTAATGTGTACTTAGCACGCAAAGTGCTGAGAACACCCGCAGATTTAAGTACCCCTAGGAGATATCATTTTTCATGCCTGACATGTCAGGGCGTATTTTAAGCTTATTCAAAAAAGCAGTCGTAACCGAAGCTTGCGTGTTCTGACAACACAGGCCTACAACAAGTAGTGCTACAGGTCACGTAAAACGCTCCCTCTCCTAAGTTTTTATGTCTTGAAAGCATTCGCAACTGTACTTCACAGGTGGCAGTTGATGTTTTTTGAACTTTTTAAAGTCCGCCAGAAAATGGGTAAAATTTTCTCGCCTATAGGCACCGTAAAAGAACCATAAATATTTTTTCGATTCACGTGACAAAAGTCACCCGTCTCTTTCATAGGGGTCGTTCGCTAGTCCTTACTCCCTTTAAATTCGTATTTCACCATTACGAACAGGTCAGATATCAGAGCTACGTATATCAGACCATTCCTGAAACGATCTATTTCTGTTTCCAGATTAACTACAGGCTGACAATAAATCGTCCTTACACCACATTAAACCTCGCCTTGGGCAAATATTTGTGAAAAACTAAAAGGATATTCAATTATTTGAAACAGACGGAATTTATTAGAATCAAAAAATTTCGCGACAGCCTATCAACTGCAACCTGTCACTGCAAAACACGGACGACAGATAGGAAACATGCGGCGATTTGCATTTTCACAGTAAATAGATGCAACGTAGTGAGGTCATCGTTTATTGTACGCAGACTAATTACTGAAAATGGTAGCTTAAAGACGCAATTGTGGAAAGAAAACTGGGGAAGTTAACACGTAAACGGGTGTATGTAAATCTAAGAACTGAGATTTACCAGGGCAAGCTGAGGTTAACCGCGTGGTCTAACTGTTTGCATAGGTCGGGTTTCACCTGCCGTATGTGGGTTGCCTCTAAATTGCGCAATGTTCGTGTCCGAATAAGTATTCGTAAAGATGTTTTGGGGTCAACGGAGTGACCGCTGTCTAGGAGGCGCTTCGTAATAGAAGAACGGGCAATTTTATATTGCCACTTTAGAAACCATTTAGACAGATTCTCAACTGGCCTAACTATCAGCTTCCTTTGCGTTCGCCCAAGTTTCATAAGTGAACGTGACTTCCTAAATGTACTGTGAGGTGCTGTGCAATGGCACGGCATTCTTTGCCCGTGGAATTGGAATAGCCGTATTGGAACAGCTAAATATGAGTTTGGCGGCTTTGTACGTCTCTCCACTGATTAATCTCAATCATCGCTTGACGGTAGTTGAAGTATCATCCTTTAAAGGTAGGGGTATTACAGCAGGCTTTTTTGGAACTGATTGTTCCTAAGCTGTACAGACTGTTTTTAACCGGAATGAATGCGTCTTTCTCCCACTCATCAGCGTGCCTGCCTTCAAATGTCCGTCCT